ATTGGGATCGATCATATTCTCTAGCGGGGACAAAGATTGGGATCAAGAACATGGATGCGGATTGGGGCCCCCGCCCCATTCTCATGACTAACCGACAACATATTAGAGATGCTCTTATGGCCCCATTTACCTTCGCCGTCCTCCAAGCCTTTTTGAAAGACTTTTTCTATTTTTTTGGTTGATTTTGATGGACTTTTTGGTTGATTTTTCTAGTATTTTCTGATTCCTAAAGTACCCCTAGAAGTTTAGTGAGTGCACCTTTCATACTCTAAAAGAAATTCTACTTGCAAAAATTGATTGAGCGGCTACACAGACAAGTTCTTTCTCAATGATATGAATTCTAATTCATTCGTTTTGGTTTTTGTTTTCGTCTGTAAGTTATTTCTCAGAACTTAAGGCTAAAGAAGGCTTGGATTTGAAAAGTACGTTTTTGTCCAGTGAACTTGAACATATTTTTTATTTTCATCTGTTAATAATGGAATTTTGTATGGTACCAACAACCAATTTAAATTACAAATCCATCAAAACTCAATTTTGCTCAAATTTTGTTTTAGAATTTTGCAGAATAAAGGTCGGGTATTTGAAGATTCTTTTCAAAATTCATCTGTTCAAGTCTCTGACTGTTGTCCAGTTCCTTGAAATTAGTCAAGGTGAGCACAAAGGTTAATAAAAATAGTGTAGTTTTATTTTATTTGTTTGTTGTACTTTTCTACTGATTTGTTGATATTTAGAAAAAAATGGTAAAGTTCTTTTGTTTTTGTAAGTGTAAGGATTTATTTCATTAATTTTTTTTTGAAACCTAATTGTTCAAAGGGAAAATTGCATCAAAATGGAACCAACTTTCACATGATTCCTATTTTGGGGAACCAACTTTCAAAATCGTCATTTTGGGAAGCCAACTTGCACCTGATTCCTATTTTGGTAAACCAACTTGCAAAATAATTATAGAAAAATAATTAAAATTTGTTTTTTTTTCAAAAATTAATGCAATAAAATCTATTTTTCATTTCAAATCTCGTTTTTTTTAATTCAGATATCAAATTGAAGATTTTTTCAAAAAATAATAATCTAAATTACCACAATAAAAATTGTTTTTTACTAATGCAATAAAAAAATCAATTTGATAGAAAAAAATAATTGATGCAATAAAAAATAAATATTAAATATCACATTCAAGATTTTTATATCTAATCAATCCGTATCAATATTAAAGTTTAAATCAAATTTGGCAAATCAAACCAAAAGTTTGATAGAGACCCTTAAATTACCTGGTACCTATTCAACAGATCAATCAGACGCTTAAATAAACAAAAACTTTGATAGAGACCCCTAAATTACGATTTTGAAAGTTGGTTTCCCAAAATAAGGATTAGGTGAAAGTTGGTTTCATTTTGGTGCAATTTTCCCTTGTTCAAAATATGAATGTTTATTGGGTTTTTCTCGGTTTTAATAAGTTCAAGGATTTATTTGTTCGATTTCAGAAAGTTCAAAATTTTATCTGTTCAAAAAAGGTTTAAGAACTTGATCATTCAACATGTGATAATTCGTTGGATTTAAATAAATTTCGTTCGTTTTCATGCATTTTACCATTCTGTTCATCTTTTTGGCATTCTTTCGTTGTGATGCCTTCATTTTCTTTCTAGAGTGTCGGTTAACCAAAGTTAACGTTAGTAACCAGGGGTCAGTTCAAATAGAAATCTAAAATCATAAGAAAGTACGAAAAAGAAAGTTTATATTGAAAATACGGAAGAAAAAAAATCTATTTACAGATACATATATAAACTGATATTATAGATTATTCATATGAGTTTAACTAAGGAAGCAAAATATAGTGAGAAGATATGAAAAGAAAGTTAAGAAAAGACAAAATACCAATAAAAATCGCTTCTGATGTCTCGTCAAATCATCATTGATGTGTCAAATCGTTACGTCATAAGTTATCTTCACTAAAAGATGGAATAAATGTCAAAATCGTCCCATGGGATGATTTGCACTTTTTGAGGGTGATTTACCCATTTTCAGATATAATATTTGATGTTTATTCCCCAAAGGGTATACATGTGAGACTCATCCGTATCTTATAGTCAAAATCGTCCCAAAATAGTCAAAAATCACCCTCCAGAGCATTTTTATTTGAAAAGTGGGTGATTTACCAATTTTCAGATATAATATTTGATGTTTATTTTCAAAAGGGTATACATGTGAGGCTCGTCCGTACCTTTAATTAAGATCGTCCCAAAATAGTCAAAATCACCCTCCAGAGCATTTTTATTTGAACAATTACCTAAAATAACTATTTTATACACTATATTAAGAAAATGATCATTTTATACCGTGTATATTAACAAAATGACCATTTTTAAAGGGGTTTTCTATCCCCCCCCCCCCTTGCTATTTATTTCCCCTTGTTGTTTCTATACCCCCACCTACTTAAAACATTAAAATAAGTTTATTTTATTTTTCATTTTTAACCCTTGAAAAATAGGGCAAATTGCATGAAAAAGCAATGTACTTTGACTTGATTCTTATTTTGGGTAACATACTTTCAAAACTTTCATTTTGGTACCTAAAATGTAAAGTTTTAAACGTTTAAGTACTCGGGTAATCGGTTGAAGCATTAATCGATTACCATGTTGATGTGGCAAGTGATATGGTATTTGATTAATGCTTCAACGAATAATATTGAGTTGGATACCACATCACTCGCCACATCAGCATGGTAACCGGTTAATGCTTCAACCAGTTACCCGGGTACTTGAATGTTTAAAATTTTATATCTCAGGTACCAAAATGGAAGTTTTAGAAGTACGTTACTCAAAATAGGAATTAAGTTAAAATACGTTACTTTTTCATGCAATTTACCCTTTTAATTTCAACCCTTCAACTTTTTAAATACTTTTATATTATATTCTTTACGTTTTTTAATTTTTAATCTATACTATAATTACATATATTAATTAACCCAGAACCATTTTTAGTTTCAACTCTTCAACCATTTTCGTTTTTTTTTTTCTATTACGATTTTTAATCTATACTATCATTTTAATATATTAATTATTTTTTTTAAATTAATGTAAAATAGCATGTTAGTAAATTATTAATTTAGATTAAATATTTATTTATTTATTCCATACGTTTTAAACTTCCAATTAATTTTTATTTTACATTCCTAAATTACCACATGAAACCACAATTTTTTGGGTAGCACATGAAATCACAATCTTTTTTTACCATAATGTAACACAACATCTTTTGTTACCTAATACTCTATTGGTATTGTAACACCTTGTCTTGCATCAGTAACTATTGGAATTTGTAGTCCCTTATGACTTATGAGTTCTTGGTTGTAGGCTATCAAAGAATTCTCACCATGGGTTTAGTGGTTTGGAGGTTATCTTATATGGTTTGCTACTATGTGATTGAGATATTACACAAAGTGTAGTTGAAAGCTCATTGATTGAATTATTTTCTTGTGTTTATGCAGCAACTTCACAATATGTTGAAGGATGTCAAAATTACCACATGAAACCACAATTTTTTGGGTAACACATGAAACCACAATCTTTTTTACCACAATGTAACACAACATGTTCAACCAAAGCGTACAAATTGTTTTCTACCTTTTCTCGCACAACCAACAGGATCTTTTGTTGTTTTTGTTTTGATTTGATGCAATGTAATTTTAGAAGATTAACGGATTTCTAGGGCGCTTAAAATAGTCTCATTGGATTAAAACAAATTTGACCCTTTTGCCCTTATTTACATACTCACATTAAATATTGGAGAGTTATTTTTGGAATTTCAGTAATTAATTTTTCTTTTATTTTCAACCATTGATTATTAATTTGTGTGGTTGAGATTGGATCTCACGGTTATCACAAACAACTCAGTTATTCCTTGAATGAGCCCCTGTGCTATCATTTCTTATGTCCTCTCCTAGATTTTGCAATTCCCCAATTCCCGATTTACGACTGCAAATCTACAATTATTTCTTCCTAGGCCTGTAATTTGATGACCGACCTATCCTAGTCGGCTAGTTTCATTCTTTTTTATTTTCGTGATGGGTAATTGTATGATTGAAGTACAAATAACGACTTTGTTTTATAAGTTTCATCTTTCTTCTTCATTGTTTCTCATTTTATTGTTTGACGAGCAACCTTACCTGCAACTTGTTGTCTTCATTCATTGTGATAGCCATTACTAATTCTCGTAGCACTATAACTAGGGACGTGGAAAACCCGAATTATCTGAATCCAAACCCGAACCGAAAATAAAGGTAATTATGAAAAACCCGAATGCCCCAAAATCCGAAAACCGACTTTTTTAGGGCAAATTTTGTTTGGGTTCGGTTTGATTTTTGGCCATAGATTCGTCCGAAAACCCGAAATATATATACATATATATTTTAAATACCATATAAATATACTTATTTATCTAATTATCTATTGAAAATTCAAAAAATGATAGTCAGTCATGTTTTTTTCTAATGTATAAGCATACTATCAATTTACCAATTCTCTAAATCGATTGAATTCATCATCAAAATCAATTGGATATATATATATTTCGCATTATAAGTAAACCCGACCGACCTCAACCCGGAACCCGACCAACCCGAACCCGAAGCAATTTGAAATCCGAAAATTGGGCTTGATTTTCATATCCGAAATCCGATCAGGTTTTTTATTTTCCCATTCGAACCCGCTTGGCCCGATGCACACCCCTAACTATAGCCCTCTAGAAACATGTAGAAGAGTTGAGGGAGGAGCCGTCCCTAGAATCGAGCTAGGGTTTTTCGAGAATCTGAGGTGACGATAGTTGGTAAAGTTCTATATGCTAATCAATTCAACTTAAAGATTTATTGAAGAAAGTTGATTATGAATTAACTTATTGATGATCTTTTTCCAATTATTTTAGGAAATGATTCATTTTAAGTGAAAATTTTATGTAACCTTGTCATTTTAAATCTATAAGACTTTTAATATAATAAATATATGAGTTTTTACATGTTGTCTTATTCATTACTATAGTCTCGATATAAGTGTAACAGGAGCTCCAAAACACTGAAACAACCCTAACCAATTGTAATAAAATTGATTATCAAATGATATAATTAAATTACTTAATTTCTTGAGAGCAAATTGATATTTTGGTCCTTGTGGTTAACATTTTCCTTGCTCATTCACGAGCCACGACCACCACTTGCTTCCCAACGTTTCGGCCAGAAAATAGCCCGACCAAAGTCACAGGTGTGCTCTCAAGTCCCTCCACGATATCTTCGATGTAACATATCTTCCCTTGTTTTATGAGGGGTATAACCATTTCCATATACTTTGGATACAGATGATAGTGATCAGCTACGATGAATCCTTTCATCGATAGACGTTTTGATACCAGGCAAAACAGGTTCCGCACACCGTCCCCCTGCTCCAGGTTGTACTGTGAGATCATCCCACAAACCGAAATCCTTCCATGTAATCTCATATTCAGCAGCACTGCCTCCAACATCTTCCCCCCAACGTTCTCAAAGTAAATATCAATGCCGTCGGGGAAGTACCTAACAAATTAAATAAAAAGAACAATCTTACAAAACTGATTTGACAAACCAAAGGGTCATCGGCTGGCCCGATGATACCCTGGTTACTGTTTTAGATCCCAACCTACCTGGAAGTCGAGGGTTCAACCTTACCAAAGGTGAGTGTGCGTGGGTATTTGCGGGGTGTGTGTGTGTGTTTGTGAGGTTCAGAGGGAAAACCCCAGAAAATGAAAAACTAAAGAACACATTAATAATCATTCATTTGTACTGTATGAACATGTGCATACAAGTAATTGAAGGTGTTTTGGGTTTTGGGTTTCTATGCACCTGTGCATGTGCACAAATTACTTGTATGCATATGTGCATCCTATATAAATGAAGGATTATTAGGGTGTTCTTCATTTTTTCATTTTTTTACGGTTTTCCCAGAGGGTTGGGTTCCAGTGAAAAGGGAAGTTGCTGAGAAGCATAAGAAGAGATCTCTACCCTTGGATCGCTCCTAATTGAATGTCAACACTAATAAGGTGCACCGAGATACATCGGGTCAATTCCCTTCTAAAACGCAATTCATGGGTAGGCATGAGATTAAAAGTGATCAAGAGTTCAAATCTCTTCTAACGTTTCTCAACATAACTTCCCTTCTCAGACGATTCTTCGCATTTCCCTTGAACCTGATCCTATGTATATTATACTATAAAAAACAACAGTTCCTCTTATCTTGGGTGAAAACTATGTTTCAGGGCTAACCTCTTCAGAGTTGCATCTAGATCTTGCTCTTCCTTGTAGTTAAACGCTTCATCAAACCCAAATTTATTCTTCAGCAGCTCAACCTTGGGTGATGAAATACGCGTACAAAAAAACGACTTTGAGAAAGAAGAAGAGGGCAAAATGCATCAAAATATAATGAAGTTTGTTATAGTCTCTATTTAGTGTAACGATGAACTTTTGTTTTCTCAATTAGTATAACAAACATTCAATTTGACCTATTTCGTACCCACTTAACCTGATAAATTTTTTTAGCGATGTGGCATCGATTGATTATGATGTGACAGTTTTTTAAACCACAATGTAACTTGACAACTTGGCATCCACATCAAAAACAATAACAAATTTCACCAGTTGTAGGTCAAAATGGGTATTGAATGTTTGCTACACGAATTAAGAAAAACATATCATCGTTACACTAAATAGGAACTAATGCAAACTTTGTTGCATTTTGGCCACAAAAAAGAACCAAAATGCCAAGGCTTGTGATATTATATTACCATGAAAACGTTTATAGGGGTCATTTACTAAATGCTTACCAGGTAAGCGCTTATCGATATCACTTACCTTACCAATTGAGCATCACAAGGACCATAATCTTACCTGGTAAGGGACGTAATAAGGACCAAGAGTTTTACCCGGTAAGTGAGGAAAACGTCTCTTACCCTGTAAGCGTTTACCGGATTTAACACGCTTACCAACAATCCATTTTGATGGAATGTTACATGATAAGGTAGGTAAGGGTAATTTCTCTTAACGTAAACACCAGGGCCGTCCCTGGAGGAGGGCGGGCCGGGCGTACGCCCAGGGCCCTTAAAAATTAGGGGCCCAAATTTTTTTAATATATATAATAATAGTGCAAAAAAATAGTAAAGAGAAGACACATAAGAAAATTAATATCCAATATGACAAGAATTTTTTTTTGTACTACATTAACTACTAAAAACCCATACATGTATAAATTAAATATATTGGAGGAAAAAAAATACATAAAGAGGTTAATCTGTCGTTCATTATATAATATTATTTAATGTTTTTCTAAGTTTTTTTTATCTAAAACCAACGTCTAAAACTCTTTGTTTCGAGAACTTTGATATATTATCCATAATTTATCTCTCATCAACTCTTTTGATTGTTCCATTTTCATGTGAATTCTATTTTTATATTAGAATATGATTGATTTTCTTGTTATTAGCTAAGGAAACCCTCATCTTTTGAAAAATTACCAACCATATAAGACGACACAACTTAAATTTATATTTAGAATAATAAAACTATAATTGTTTTTTAATAGTTGTTATTTATTATCTAATATTGAGTCTATAAATCTTATCTATTATTTTATCTCTAAAAGAAGAATAAGATATCAAACTACCATCAAATTCAATTATATAGGTAGAAACTATGCAAAAAAATTAAAGGCCCAAACCTTTTCTTTTGTTCCAGCACTCCCAACAACATAGCACCCCAACAACTTTGCAAACTGCCCAACAAGCTGACCAACTGCACCAGAAGCCGCTGAAACAAACACACACTCTCCTTTCTTTGGAGCACAAATCTCATAGAAACCAAAATAAGCGGTCATACCAGGCATGCCTAAAAAGCATCCAAAGGAAGAAAATCAGGAGATAGCGAAACACATTAATCAACCATTCAACACCATCTTCTAATTACTGCTACATGCTTCTCAAAAAAATTACCATGTTGGCCTATACGAACTTGAATAACAGCATTAGAATTTTAATGTCTAAAGTACTCTTGGCCAATAATAAAAGGTCTTAGAAGGCAATCTCATGCACCAAAACAATATAATCGATGATTCGTAATATATTTTACACAATAAGTTTTGTTTCTCAAGGCCCAACCACACAGAATATTATTTGTCCAATATACCACAACTTAGACCATACTCTATCATAACCATCATAATTTGTTACCCTCTGGCGCATGATTATGATTTTCATGGGGCTCAGATCCTAACGTTTATGTTCGATTACTACAACTTTTAATGGGTCCAGGAGTCAACTAAATACGTGTATGTGAATGTATACATATACATAGATGAATGGAGAAAAACACACAATCTTCCCTTCGGGGATCTTGACAATATCAAGGGAATGGCAGATTGTCGTTCAAAGACCAACACTTCAACATCTCTGAATTGTGAACATTACTCTTGCACAATTTCAAAGGTTTGTATATGGAATCTACAAGGCACAAARCAAAACAAAAATCATTGTCCATTGATGACTTGATTGCTGAATGCTGATGAAAGGTTCTCTTTTCGATGGACTGAAGTTGCAGGCATTAACCATCTCATCTACAATACCAAAGCCAGCTCAAGTGTTGGAAACTTAATTTCAGGGCCACAAGGGATAGAGCCTCAACCAACCAGACCCTATAGCCGAATTTGAACGAGAACTTCGAGTGTGCGTTGGTGGTAGGGGGGGGGGGGATCAAGCACTGTTGTATTTGTGTGACATTCACTTTTGCCATAAGTACACAGGGGAATAGTGGAATCCCCGACTCTTAAAGCTCCTAATATGCTTGACTAAAGTGCAGTAAGATTAGAAACACTTGAAAGAGAAAACATACCAAGAATTCCTGTATAATAGGACAGAGGAACATCAGTATGTTCAATCTTGAATACACTCTCAGGAGCAGTGATAATGCTGTATTCCTCCCATCCAGTAATACCCCAAAACAGGTCACCTTTCTTGAAGTTTGCATGCCCAGAATCCAATACTTTAGCCACTCCAAATCCTTCCATTGGCTGCAAGATGGTAATGGGTACATGAAAACACAAGCTGATACAGTAAATTGCTCTAGTTCAAATACAAGTAAAATAAAACAAGCCAGGTGCATTAAGGCCCCTCCGCCTCTCGGACATGTAAAAGCTGGAGAGTGAAGTCCTTGTAAGTAATCTTTCCCTTGCAATTTTGCATAGAGACAACTTCCACCAAATAAGGAACTCGTAGGTATTTTGAATCCTAGATATAACTCGTATCACCACAAACGTCAAAACATATCTTTAGTCTTGTAATTAAATCTATCTGATCAATTGCATGGTGGTAGTGAGTTTGCTCCTAGTGTTTGTTGGCATACATGTGGATGCTATGCACCAATTATGCTTATACCAAGAAGACAGAAGAAGTCCCAATTTAGAAACAGAAATAGATAATCAATTTGTGACAATTCAACAAAGAGTCACATAAACACACATAGAAGGTAAGAAGGTGGACATAAAACAGTATCGACACATGTTAGATTTGTTTTTTATCAGCAACCTAATTATGTGAAGCTCTATTGTTGGCCTTATCTGATCCAAAAATATCCATTCATTTTTCACCTACTGTTAGTTGACTAGTGGTTCATGTTTTATCTCAAGCAATTATAACAGTTTCCTGTTGGAACAAAAGCATATTCCCCAAAAATGGCATGGATCTTATGTCATACAGTGGKTTRGCGGTAGATCAAAAWWWTYTCTTCATTTTAACATGAATTACACCAAAATAGGGTTCTCCACTGTGATTCGAGCTTAGCGATAGAAAAGCAAAATCTCTCAATAAACAAACTGTGCTTCCCTAGAATCGGAAAGAATGAGAGAGATTGAAGAATATTCAATTAAACTAACCAATAATGTCAAAACTAAAATTATCAAAAAGACAAAAAAATCAGAAAACGCATAGAAGATGAAGTTACCGACCGAACCAGGAGTGAAGGATGGAACGTAACTGTCTTCAGTTTTGGTCATCCGATTACGCATGTAAGGATCACAGGAAAGATACAGGTTCTTAACGAGGAGGGCATTAGAACCTTGTGGAAGGTTGAGGGATATGGTGGCGGAAGTATTGATAAGCATGTCTGATTCCTTAGGGAAGCCATTAACGTAATCCTTCAATACAACCTGCTTATTACTCACTTCTTCCATTTTTTCCTGCTAATCTGCTGTTGAGTTAATGGAAGCAGCTAGCAGAGTGGAGACAGAATGAGGTGAGTCGAGGAGAGGTGGAGTTCTGCGTATCTCATGTCATGCGAGTGGACATGTGTAGTAGGAAGGGACACGTATTCACTTTTCGTTTAAAATAACCATCTTAATAATGATTATTTTTTAAAGTTTTTTACAAAATACCATAAAAGGCGATTTTGATAGTCATATGAAAAAACTTTAAAAATAGTTATCTATATATCTATACTATTTTATAAAATATTTGGCTAAAATTCTTAAAAACTTTTAAACACATTCATCTCCAAACGATTTCATTCATATCCGATTTCATCCCATATCTAAATTCGTGTAATTAGCTACAGATAAACACAATCAAATACATGATAAACATCTCATTTTAAATAAAAAAATCTAAAATATAATTAATATAATCATTAAATTCTAACAGAATATTTAATTATTATCTTTATAAAATTTATAATATTAAAATAAAAATAAATTGTTTTATTATTAAACTTAAATT